CGCTCCCGCCGCCTCGCCCGCGCCCTAGCGCCGCCGCCGCCGCCAAATCCGCCGCATCCCGTCGTCCCCGCGTGCAATCAATAGGGGGGAATTATTCCCCGTGATTCCCTCTCTCTTTCCCCCCATTTTTCCCTCCCTCTCTCCCTCGGATTCGTTTGGAAACCTCTCCCCTAACCTCGCCGGCGCCATCAATGGCGGCCGGATCTTCCGCGCCCGTTTCCCCCTCGTCCGGCCGCTCTCTCCCCCTCCCGACCCTATATAAACCTTCCCCGTGCCTCCCTCCACCGTTTCCGCCACTCGCCGCCCTCTCTCCCCGTCGGAATCGAGCTCGCGCCGTCGCTCTCTCTCTCCGCCGTCACCGCCGAGCTCCGGTCCGCCGCCGTCGTCGCCCCGGACCACCTCCCGCCTCGGCGTCGCCACCTTCGGCTTCACCGCATCCCCGGCGACCTCGTCCACCCCTCCGTTTCGCACGCCGACCGCCGGAGCACCGTCGACCCCGTCCTCCCGAGCCGCGCCGCCGCCTTCCTCCGCTCCGGTCGCCGTTCCCGTCGTCGCCGTCGACCCGGGGTGAGCCGTGGACCGCCGCTTCTTTTCCCCCTTCCCTTCCCCTCTCTCGGCCGCCGCTCCGCCGTGCCTATGGCCGCCGCCGGCGACCATAGGGGCGCGGGCGCGCCGCCTCCCGCCACTGCGCCGGCGTGGCCGCCTTCGAGCGCACCGTGCGGCTGCCGCGTGGGGCCCGGCTGTCAGCCGCCCGCGCCCTCGGGTGCGGCTGACGCGTGGGACCCACGGCGCCGGCCGGTGCAAGCCCGGGTGCGCCCGGTCCACCATGGACCGTGGGGCTGCCGCGTGGGCCCCACCCCCGTGGACCCGGTCCGCGCGCCCCTCCCCTCGGCTGACGCAATAAATCCATTTTAAATTAAAATTTAAATGAAGAAATTCGCAAATATTCATTTAAAGAGCATATAAACTTCAAATGGCCATAACTTGGCCATTTGAACTCGGAATTGGACCGTTCAAGTCTCTAATTTTTCCCTAAGAAGTCAAGAACCCATTTTTGTGCTTTGTTTCTGCTTGTTATATGGAGTTTATTAGAGTAAAAGCCTTTTCTTTTCCGTTGGTCGTGTAGACGCTGCAGCTTCGGAGGATCCGCTCTTCGTGGAAGTTGAAGCCGGCGTTTTGGGAAAGCGAGCAAGGCAAGTCACATCATCCTTGAACATATTGAATCCCAGTTTATAAAATTATGTTGCTTTAAATTATTGCATTATCGCTTTATTTAAATTCCCGCGTTATCACTGTTTTATCTAGCCATGCCTATCTACCTTTGTTATGACCTTATTATTATTGTTATTGTTATTATTACCTTGTTCACCCTAGATTAAACAAAACCCCAACTAGTGGACACTCTACTCATAGTACCACTAGTATAATTTTAGGTAGATGCTTCGCTGATTAATTAGGTAACATTAGGCGGTTTTACAACTCTAGACTTTGGGATATTCATATCACCTGGACACTTTGGAATTGTTGGTTTATTGTGGAATTGGATTCACACCGCCCCCTCTATTCAAAATCCCCAAAATGGTTTTAGGCTGGGCTCGGGGTGCATGGTTTTGATAGTAGCACCTCGGCCATATAAGGACCGGTCTTCGGGCCTCTGTTGCAAAGCACTACCGTACTTCCACATGTCTAGTGGGTAAGGCTTAGTTTGTGGCTCAGTCTGGTTATAAACAAAAGTACACGGATGGAGATGGACGAAGTCGGGGGTCGATGGACATCTCTAGGACAAATGAAGGCTACACGAGCTGCGGCCCGGTAGTCGAGATGTCATGGCACAGGGCTGGTGTCCTGCTGCTAGGGGCTCAATCCTGCCTACCTGTCCCGGAGGTTCTGGCCGTAGGTGGGATTGGGTCGGTACTCTTGTCTATGGCTAGGATGGGTTGGGAACTATGTCACGTCTTCCGTCCGTATACCGTGGTGGTATGTGGCACGTGGTTACACGTGAGAAAGATGTGTCTTGTGGGTAAAGATGTACACCTCTGATCAGAGTATAATCTATTCGAATAGCCGCGCCCTCGGTTATGGGCAAGCCAAGCAATGTACCCAAGTTAGTGTTTTAATTCTTAAAATTTGCTCAACAACTAAAATGTGGAATGGTTGGCCTGGGTTGGCTTGGGACGAGCTGGGACCCAGGGTCGGGTTGCCAGTTCGGTCTGAATCATCGTAGGCCTTGGGTTAAGGCAGGTTCGTGCGGGTTCACGACCTTGATTAATAATACTGTGTAGCTCTAGGATCGTCTTTTTAAAATGGCTTTGGGCAACTAAGTGACTTTTAAATGCTGTTTTCTGCAAAACTTAACCCCTATATCATTACCCCTTGTACCCCCTTGCATTAATCGTGCATCCGCCGGTGTGGCTTGCTGAGTACTGTGGTTGTACTCATTCTTGCTCTATCTTTCTCCCCCCTTCAGTAAGAGAAGCTTTGGAGAAGAAGTCTTAGGTGGAGTCTTGGCTTACACCCCAGTTGAGCGCCTGTGAAGATGGAGCCGTAGGCCCGCTAGTCCACTGCTGTTTATTTTTGATTGTTAGGCCTTAAGTGCCTTTGTAATAATGTAAATATTATCGATATAATAAAGATGTGTCTTTTATATCATGTTTGTATGGTGTACCCCGGCTTTTCCTGGGACGGGGATTAATACACTAGCGTTAGGGAAAATGCAATTTTCTCGGTCGCGACAGCCTTCCTTCGATCTCGTGCGCTTGTCGCTTGAGGTCGGCAACTTGGCGTCGGACCAATCAGCAGCTGTTTGCTTCCGACCATTGAATCGATGCACGCCTGCCATCCAGATCCCCATCACTCCACTACTGGGGAGACCCTTTTTACTCCCGGTTCGGAACCTCATGTAGTACCGGTTTTCCAACCGAGACTAAAGATGGGCATCTTTAGTCCCGGGTGAAATAACCGTTCTTTAGTCCCGGTTGATAATACCAACCGGGACTAAAGAGATGGTAGGGGTAATCCCGGTTGGTCCTTTTTTTTCATTATTTCTTTGCTAATTGACAGAGTTAATCCCTGTATTTTCTCCCAAATCGAGTGAAATGCATATCCTCAAATCAAACCCCCAAATCTCCAAATTAAAGTAATATCCCAAATCATTCACATCACAAATCCTAAGTTACTTATACACACAAATCAAATACATCACAAATCTAAAAAAATACACACAAATCAAATACATCTCACATGAATCACAAATTCTAAAAAAAAAAGAAATTATACATCTCAGCGTGAATCACAAATTATAAAAAAAACAGAGAAAGGACGGCACGGCTTGCCGCCGCTCGTGCCGGCCGCCACCAGGCATGGCCCCGCCGGCCGCCGCCTGCCCACCGCCGCTGACCGCCGGATGGGAGGAGAGGGGAGAAGGAGGAGAGGGGAGGAGGGGGAGGAGGAGATAGGAGGGGAGGAGGAGGAAAGGGGATCTGAGGGGAGGAGAGGGGATGAGATCGATCCAATGTTATCTAAATATCCCGGTGAGGAGGAAAGTTCGTGTAGGACTTAATCAATCAGAGATGGGAAATAAATATTTACTCCCAGATTGGTAACTTCAACCGGCACTAAAAATAGATTTGGGACTAAAGATCTAAATGATCTTTACTCCCGGTTGTTACTACCAACCCGGACTAAAGATACCACTTTAGTCCCGGTTGGTAGTATCAACGGGACTAAAGATCCTCGGCCCCTCTGACAGGGGATGAACCAGGATTAAAGATGAATTTTTTTAACCGGAAAAAAAAACAACCAATCGAAACTAAAGATCAAAATTTTTTTAACCAGGACTTAAAAATAATTTTTAGTACGGACTATTGTGAAAATCAGCCGATCCAGGAAAAATTATTTTTCCAGTAGAGCTCTCTACCTGATGATCTCATCCCCTGTGCAGCCATCGACGGATGTACGCGGGCTGCCAAAGATTGTCGCTCCCCCGTCCGATGATGGGGAAATGATGAGTTCTGGAGAGTGTTTCTTTCTTTCTTTTTCCGTTTTTTATATTTTTTTAGTGCTCATATAGATATAGCGCTCATCGCCTCTGAGTTTGAGGCCAAAACACCGACGGAAGACCGTTGAAAATATCTTCCCTCGCAACTTCTACAAAGAGGACACTGATAAATAAATAAAATTAATATAAGATGATCTCAACTGAAATGGCAAAAAAAGGGATTCGAACAAGATTAAGAGGAAACCACAAGGTCCTCATTTGAATTAGAAAACTCATACAAGTGTTATTTAATTTAGTATTATATTCCTAATCATCTAAACTTAAGATTTTTTAGTCTACTAGGAAAAATGCCCGTGCATTGCTACGGGAGGGAAAGACCGTGATAGCAGGTGTCGTTCTATGCTGGAGTTCACAATGTCAATGAAGAAGTAGTAGTTCCGACGGAGCTGGTGGAGCTGATGACGGTAGTGTGCAGGCACCTTGGTTGTTAATGTTGCACCGTCGGAGATGCTTAGTGCGGGCTGACTACAGCAAGACGGTATCAGGAGCTCTCGCCGGCATGGTAATCATGTTTTAAGTGATACCGTCATAAATTTTCATATCGATTCAGTTCCAAGAAGGATATTGTGATAGGCGGATCACCCAAAAAATTCTTAGCCCAACACATAAATATATGTATGTGAAAAGAAACTTTTGAAAAAAGAAGGAAGAAGAGTTCGTTTTTAATATATTATGATGCACATTTGATCCCCATATAAAAGTTCTAGCTATGTCACTGGTATTGTTAAATCTATTATTAATTATTCATTTTAATTTTTTATTAAGGGAGTATTGTTTTCAATTTATAAATTAATTACATCTGAGGTTTAAATAGTAGTATTTTTCTCCTCAACAAATTAAGTGAGAGATGAGAAAAATGAAAGGCATAGAGTACCAGGGGGAAAAAAAAAGAGAAAGAAAGCAGAGCACCAACCAGATAAGTATAGATACGATCCATATACTCCAAAAATCAGTCTCTTCTTCACTTTCCCCACCAGCTCTCCTTTCCTTGTCTCCCCCGATTCAACTCCCCACCACCGGCCACCTCTAGTACATCGCCATGGTTCTTCCCTGCGTACTGGCCCCCCATCTCCGAGCTCCTTCCCTCCGTGCTGCCGCCCTCCCCGCTCTTCACCTCATGCGCAGCTTGAGCAGTCAACGGGGCGGAGTGGCCTCGGCAGCGGCACGGAGTGTACTCCGCGGCGGTGGTCTGCTTCCGGTCGGCCTCTCCTCCTTCCCTTCCAGCCGCCAAGGCGCATGTGAATTGGCGGGCGCCTCGTCGACATCATCTGCGGCATCGGCGCCATCACAGTGGCTTGATCTGCGGTTGTTTCTTGGTCTCCACGCCACCGGCAACCTCCTGCAGTCATGGCGGCCGTCGATCCGCACCGTGCCTTCCGGATCCAGTGTTCGGCTGTGCGTAGGGCGCGAGCTGCTGTCCAGATTCGCTCAGGGCCTCCGATGGTGACGGCATGCGTCAGCTGTGTCAACGACGGCAAGCTTTCCCCTTCGTCGAGGCAGATCGGTTGTAGACGGCGGCTTGCGTCGAGGCAGGTCATTGCTTCTATCGATCGAGGTCTGTCATTCACTATTAATCATCCCTCTATCACCTGATCTAAAATTTCAGATACAACACAGGAGGTCTCTGATGTCGATCGATTATGTTTCAGTTCTAGGTTGGCAGATTGTTCTTATTTTGTGTTTACTGGATCAGCTGGGCTGCAAGGTAGCGGTACTGGACGTGGTCATGTTCGTTGATATGGACTTCCAGAACAAGCTGATCGACAGCCTATCAAGGTTTGTTGTGAAATTGATTTAACACGCTTATGTCTTGATTCTTTAATCATGTCAAACATGTCAGATTGCAGTTTGCTTGGTGTCATTGTGCCTAGTTTCAGCATGTTTTCAGAATACACGATCATGCATTTACGTACTTCTGATTGAAAGAAAGCGTGATGGGAAAATAATGATGATGATGACAGTGTCTTTGCATTACTTGTAGAATCTGCGATGCGTACAAATAGGTAAAAAAAAAAGGCGTTTGGCACAATACAGTAATACCATGTAGCTAGTAACTATTTCTAACTCTGAGTATTATTGTAGTTGATACACCTAAGCAAGTCTCGTATACCACTTGGTATGTTGCTCTCACATTTATTCTCTGCATACTCTAATAATTGTGCCAAAAATGCTTCCGTACTTCATAGCTGAAGCCATCCTTTAAAATTGGAAATTGTATTCCTTCATCTCTGCATGTGCGCATGAAAAGGGAAACAAGATAACCGGATAGTTCCCTAAAAAGATTAAATTGTTAGCTGAGTTTGTGTTAGAGAAATATAATAGTTAGTTCTGATGGGATTTTAAAAAAAATGTTTACCTGCTCTGAATTGGAACATTTGAAAGGAATATTTGCCGCCATAGGTTGATATCCTCGTTCCACCTAGATCCAGGGCATACTTTAGCCATGGCTTTTGCCAAGTATTCAGCAATGCATAAAAGTTGTTTCACATATCTTGCGTTTGGATTGTTCTCGTAAATTGGATCAATAGGAGTCGGGTCTAATACATACAGAGTTCTCGTATCTTGGTCCAACACTATTAGAATGAAGGTATCACAGTACTCTACGGGGATAAGAATCTGCAAAAGGCTAATTATTAGTGGGATAGCAAAAACCATGGTGCTAATGGGTAAAGGGATGCTAACTTACCAATTTGCATTATGAGACATTGTAGTCAATATCAGCCCAGCTACAAATTGAATCCACCAGTTGTTCAATATTTAGCTGTTGACAGTAGTCCGGGTGTCGTCCAAATTCAGTAATAATCTATATATATGGTACAGGGTATATAATAAAAGAAATGTTTAAGAACATGAGTAAGAGAGGTGGATATAAGTGACTGTAAAATCATACCCAAAATTGTAGGTCCAAATAGTGCTTTGATATTGTCCCTCTGTTTTTTTTCATCAACTGGATGTCGTCATATGCAAACTTCCGTACAGCCAAGTTGAAACAATTACGATCCATGGGCTGATCCTCCATTAGTATTTCTTGGAGTTTAATTATATAGAGATGTGGGGGCGATCTAGCATGTCCGAGTCGGAATAGAACCTACTGCTATTTGTTTTACGTGTTGGTGGGGTAACTAAATGTCTAAATCCATCTCGGGTTCTAGTCCGAGTTAGGAGTGAATTCGACATCCTACGTCAGGAATTGGGAGTTGGATTAGAAGGAGGGAGGGGGCGGCAGTCCGAATAGGAGAGGGAGGGGCGCACGGCAGGGAGGGGAGGGGGGGGCGGCAGCTCGGCAAGGGGAAAAGGAGGAGGGGAAAACCGAATCTGATAGGGCACCCAAAAGGGAAAGAAAGGAAAAAGGGATGCAGTGCCGTTTTAGGAAAGGAAGGGAAAACGATACGCTGGCGTGTACTTACCTGAACCGGTATTCTCTCACGGTCAGCTATATGTTGCACTTTCTAGAGCCACATCAAGAAAGAACATAAAGATCCTTGTTGCTGTACATGACGACAATTCAAGGAAAAGGAAAAGGAATTCTGAGCAAAGTAGTGATTACTCTATGAGAAATATTAACAACTCAAAGAAAAGGAACAAGCATTCTGACAAGAGTATAAGTGGGACATATATTTCTCTGACAAGAGTATAAGTGGGACATATACAAGAAATATAGTGTATACAGATGTGCTCACGACATAGAATTGTCATTGTTCTAGAATGTATATATGAGATTAATGTCCTCACGACATAGAATTGTCATTGTTCTAGAATACAGGTAATATGTAGTATTATTAACTACACAACAGAGTAATATGTAAAACTATTTCATTGTCTTTTACAGGGAACCCCAAGGATTTGACACTGCTGGTGCAAAATACTCACTACAGGTAATATGTAGTATTATTAACTACACAACAGAGTAATATGTAAAATGCATACAACGGAGTTGTTGGATTACCTGGGATCGACATAGGCGCGGAACTCTCGGTGCCACACTTTGGACTGAGGGAGAGTTATGTGTTGTTTTGTCTTTTACCCAGTGCTAAGTGCTATAAGGCTGCATGTAATTCTTTGTTATGTGCTGTGATTTTTTATACTATGTATGTATATATGCACTTGTTCTCCTGGTGATGCTAACCGAATAGGACTTGGTATAATTCAAACCAAGTCCTATTCGGCCTAAACAGAAACAAAGTCCTAATCAGCCCAAACGGAAACGGATGGGAGTTTGTTTCCTATTTTTGTGGAATCGGACAGATTCATTTATTTTGCCTGATTTTTCTTTTACCGCGTCGATGGAATCGGATTCGATTTCGTTTTTTTTCGCTCGGTTTTTTTACCGCGTTGACGGAGTTGGATCGTTTTTCTTTTCTTTTTTTCGCACGTTTTTGTTCGCCCGTTTTTTTTTTATCAGACAACTTTGGTTTTTTTTTCGCCCTTTTTTTTTTTTCTGATCGGACAGTTTTGGTTTTTTTTTTCTTTTTTTCGCACTTTTTTTCGCCAGTTTTTTTATCGGACAAACTTGATTTTTTGGGCCCGGTTTTTTTTCTTCGCCCGGTTTTTTTATGGACGATGGAAGCAGTCTTATTTTTTATTTTTTATTTTATTATTATTAAGTAGTAGAGATAAGAGTCTGTTGCATCGCACGGACTATTTGCTAGTAAATAAAACATAGTGAAGGATCAAAATATAACCATTTCATTCGAGAAATGATTTACCGTTCGTGGTTTGTTGGGTACTATAATATTATATCAGAATGTGCTGAAATGATTTATCGTCCATGATTCGTTTGGTACTATAATATTACTAGAAATAATTGCGCGCTTCGCTGCGCCCGTCCAATATCAGAAGAGAAATAAATTTAACAGTATATTTTTTTATATAGCATGTATTTGGATCATTTGCATATTAGAGATGAGCAAGGATAAACAGTAATTGATGAAATAGAATTGTCTTACAAATTTCACAAATCATTCAGTGCACATGATAAATATCACCAAATGTTAAAGTGTCAACAAATAGTGTTGGTCCAAATATGGGAGCCAAGAGAGCAGTGAGTAGTTGACAGCTAGTGTTGTGACCACACTACAGAACTGAGAATCACACAGCAGAGCATGTTAGTGGAGAACTCCTACAAAATGTGGACATTATGAATAAAAACTAAGAAAAAAAACATATCCTCCGGATTAGTCGTTATCTCACATATGAGGCTCCCCAACTGTTCATACTTGCATTTGTGTTCATGAGCTCGTCCATCTACAAATTGCAAAGGCTAAAGGCAGATAGTTGCAAAATAAGAAATAATAGATACATTAGGTGTGGTATGAAGTATTACTATTTATTTTACTGACATATACATATATAAAAAGGATGTAGATTATCACCTTCAGTACAAAACATATATGACCAAATATTACCAGGCATTTGCACATTTCTAAGAATGTACCTTTACCATGCTAGACAACAATTTGGGCAAGCTGCTGCCTATATATATGTATATGATACATTACATATATGATATATCCATCCTGTTATAGCTTATAAGGTAATGGGCATGCTAAACCCAAATGTTATGGCTTGTAGCCAGCAGTCCGATAAAAGAACTCATAGCAGTGTAGCACAGTAGGACTGAATGCCCTGATAACAGCAAGAGTAAACTGTTGGCAAGACATTTACAGATTCATGTCCCTCATGACCTCAATTCAGAAAATGGAAAGAAAAGCTATCTATTGAAACAATGAAGTCACCTAACTAAGCTTAACTTTTTGTATATCTACAAATATCACCTTTTGCCAATATAATTATTACACATTGGGAACCAATACATATACGCAGCACCACGTAATATTCATAAAGAATGAAATTAACAGTGAATTTTAAATTAGAACAGAGTTGACTTCCATTTCGTAAGTAAACTATCCTATATCCAACAAAAAGAATAGTGTCCCACATTCCATAGATACATATTTCATAGGAACATAGGATGATATATACTTGCATACATTCTAATATTTCTTAAAATATAATGGTCTGCAATGTTTTTTGTGAGATTCAGATATAATACAATCCGACTCAACACATCAGTAATAGCAGTGCTAAGGCTCCTTACATGCTGCTGAACCTCACATAGATAAAAATAGGCAAAACTGAAGGTAGAAACAATGGATTGTCATGTGTGACAGCAATAATTGTAAATCATTAATGCTTTCTAAAAGTCTAGGCCTGTAGATTGTACCGATCAGATGAGACCTTTTTTCATGAAGGCACCTAAATTGTAGTGCTAAAAATGCTTTTTCTTTGGGAATGTATTTCAAACCACCCGCAGACCTAGATGCTACCTAGCTGGCTATCCCAAAAGCTAAATGTAAAGGTTATTCTTCAATTTTAGAAGGCACACTGAATTATATGAACTCAAGCAGTTTGAATTATTTTTGGCATACCAACCCTCTAGATGACTCAGAGGAGACGATGATGCGAGCATAAACAACAGATGTACACACTACAGCTGACACGAAAAAAAAAATGGAGAGGTACTATGAGATCATAAGAAAGCCTGGATAGTAGATGATTTACCCATATTTTTCATAGTGTTGCTTTTACAGTGTTAATTAATGATCAAAAGTCGTGCCCCAAATTCCTCCAGGAGGGATCGATGGTTTGATTCCTGGGATTCCTGTACACGAAGAAACCATGTAGATCAAATATGTAATGATGTCATGCTGTGATGATGCGTTAAACCAAACAATGCAACATTTGGTCTTACTTGGTAACCTCGACTAAAGAAAAGAATGAGGAGCAGTCAGTGAAAATCTTGCCCTGTCAGCTGTGACTCATTGTTCTTTATAAGCCAGATGCCTTCCATCAGAAAGTTGAATTGTTTTGGCACTTGGGGGACCTATGTAGAGTTTCTTTGGCAGTTCTACTGGGGTATCATCAACACTCCCTACACCTAATACTGCATACAAAATATTCCTGTTAATCAAGCGATAAAAAATTGATCCCTACATTAAGAAATTGTTTACTTGGATTTCGCATTTTTCACAAATCAATTGAAGTCCATAGTGCATTGACAAAATGATTGTACAATGTGTAGCATGTAAAAGAGGGTAAGGGAGCACTTCTGGTTAGAAATTCTACATGCTAGCATGCATCAAGTTCGCATATAAGCAACCAAGTGCTATAAAACTCAAAAATAAGAGGGCAAAAAGAATCCACTTGGCAAGCAATCTGTTGGCACCAAAATAGTAATATCAATACAGCAAAAAAAAAAAGCAGCTAGCTTGACTCAATAGTAAAACAATTGACTGACCAATGACCACAATATTAGACATTAGGTTGATCTGTCATGAATTTCAAACTGCCCGTAGGCCACTATGCATTGTATCCCATGGCCATGAAGGCATAAACACAAGCGCACTAGGCATGGATCCCACAATCCAAAAAATATCTCCTTGAAATAATTACACGCTTTAACCAATATATATCTGGAGTAACGCGGACAATAGAAACGCCGCATAAAGAGACATATTGATTCTAAATCCAAACAAAATTTTAGGGGAAAAAAAGAGCACCAAATAGTTTGTTAGATCCATCCCCTCTAATGACTGAACACTAAGCTTGCACACCCATATCATACATCGTGATGCACGACGGCATAAACCAAACCTGCACGCTGAGGCGTAGCCAGAGCCTCACTCGCACGCAAGGCAGAGAAGATCCGGGAGGGATGAGAGATCACCGGGGGATTACCGATGAGCGTGACGAACGCGACGGCGGCGGCGACGACCTAGCACCTGACGGGGTCGCGGTCCTCGGCGAGGTACTCGTTCATGAAGCTAAGGCGCTCCCTCACGGCCACGGCGGGGCCCCTGAGCCGCCGTGCGAGCTCGCTGTCCTCGGCGCCAGTGAAGCTCTGAGCGGCCAGATCCACCGGGGGGAGACGAAGCGCCGTATCGACGGCCTGCTAGCGGATCTGGCACTACACAAAGCAGGGTGGAGAAGATGGTGGTGGTGGCTCACGACCCTTTCGTCCGGGCGGCCAGAATCGCCTGTAGAGAGGAGGGGGTCACCGGATTCGACGCCCCTGGTCTCCTCGCTGGCAGATGAAGTGGCCTGACTGGGGAGAGAGGCGGGGGCGGTGCAGCGGCGGTGAGAGGAGGGTGAGGACGCGATGCGCGTGAGGAGAGGAGGGCGGGCGAGGGAGGAGGGCGAGGCGACGCGGGCGAGAAGAGAGCCGAGCGGCCGAGCCGCGCGAGGTCGAGGGCAGGAGACTGAGGTGGCTAGGGTTTTTGGCAAATCTAGGCCGTCCGTTCCTCATCCAACGATTTCACGATGGTGGAAGAGCAGCCACGCTGGGACACGTGGACGGCTAGATCTTCCTTCGCGCGTGATCGAAAGGACCTCAATAGCCTGAACCGGAACACAATTAACCAAAGATGAGGCGTATTTCTGAAAATATTAATGAGGTGGCAAGCTAATCTTCCCCATTCCCACGGTGTTTAAGTAAAGTAATATATCAGAATGTGCTGAAATGATTTACCATCCATAATTCGTTGGGTACAATAAGGGGTTTCCTAGAACGCGCGTACGCGCCAGCAGTTTAGCTGACGCGCACGCCAGCTGGGCCGTCCCTGCACCTTTTTTTTTCTTTTTTCGCACTTCTTTTCTCCTCCAACGCGTTTTTCTTTTTTCTTTTTTCGTTTCTTTCCCATTTTTTTTCAATCTTTCACACACCACTTTACAAATGTAGAGTTGAAAGTTTTAGATTTTGATTTGAAAGTTTTCAAATTTTGTGTTAAAAGTTTTCAAATTTTGAGTTGAAAGTTTTCAAATCTAGGTTGAAAATTTTAAATTTGAATTGAAAGTTATTAAAATTTGACTTCAAAGAATTCAAATTTTGAGTTGAAAGTTTTTAAATTTTGTGCTGAAAGTTTTCAAATTTGAGTTGAAAATTTTCAAATTTTAAGCTGAAAGTTTTCAAATCTGGGTTGAAAGTTTTCAAATCTAGATTGAAAGTTTTCAAATCCGGGTTAAAAACTTTTTAAAATGACTTAAAAATTTTAAATTTTAATTTGAAAGTTTTAAAATTTAAATTGAAAGTTTTAAATATGAGTTAAAAGTTTTTAAATTTGAGTAGAAAGTTTTCAAACTTTAACCCAATAATAATTACGGTCTAACTACTCGGAAAAAATGAGCGCGCTAATCCTCATGCTAATCGTGTTTTACTCTGTAACGGGCCGCCATACTCTGTGAGCAACGTGGACAGCACACGCGTACGTGTGGGCCCGGTCGGCCGGAGTGCGCGCCCGCAGTGCGTATACGCTAATTAGCAAATCTAGTACAATAGTACTATGATAGTACTTGCCTGTGAGACAGACCTAGAGCCTGGACACACCCCAAGGTGTGGGCCGGGTAGTAATGAACCCATACCTTGAAAAGAAAGAAGTTCACCTACCATCCCTTAACTTTAAATCGAGTTTGTAAGACATCCCAGAAATCTCCATCCCTAAACTATATAAAACCCTCCAATTTAGGTTCAATAGCATTATATATGTCTAGTCATTAGAAAAGTAAAGATATGTGGGACCCATATGAAATTTATCATCTTCTTTCTTATTTTTTCTTTCCAAACCTGATGCGGCCAGCCGGCGAGGGTGAGAGAGGCGGCCGGCGCAAGATGGGGAAGGGGATAGGCGGCTGGCGTGCGATGGCGGCAGGCCACCGCATGGGCTGCTGTCGGTAGTACTGGATCTGCGCGCCTGCGGCGCCCACCCCTCAGCCGCCGCCGCTCCCCGAGTCCGCCTCCACCTCCACCTCTGCTTCAGCCACAGATGAGGCACCCGTGGTCATCATCTCCGAGGCGTTGCAACACGTCGAAGTCCCCCCGAGCAGCCGCAGCCGCGGCCAAGCGCGAGGCGGACATCACGGACGGTGGCGCCATTGTAAAAGCAGAAGCTGTCCATGATGGCGTCGACGTAGCCGAGGACCAGGTTCGTCTCTCAGTCTCTGCCAGGCACGGCCCGCCGCAGAACGCCTCTGCCGCCGTCGACGGCACACGCAGCGCTCCCTCCGGCCCTAGCCTGTACTGCCCCTGGAACCCGCTGTATATCTTCACCCAACCACCAATGCAAGAACACACGCATCCAGGATTGCAGAACTTCAGAAAGCGTTTTCTGCTTGAACTCTTTTTTTCTTTTTCTTTTTTGGCTGAAGCTGTTTCAAGTATTGCTCAAGTTTGATTACATACTGTCAGTGATGTACTTACATAGCGATCGTTGAAGCAGATGATGGCCGTGGCAACGATGCATGTCTTCAGTGCTTCTTTTCTGACCATGGAAGGCTGTTGCTGTAGGAATAAGTCTTGGCTGGTTGGTCTTGGTCTTGTGGTGCCTTTTTCCTGCTTTTCAGCTTTCTAGGACAGCATCTCTTTCTAGGACAGCATCTCTACTTTCAGTTTGAGATGCTCTAGGACAGTTTGTTGGGATGCTCTGCTCTAGGACAGTTTGTTGGGATGCTCTAGGACAGCACCCTCTTAGACTAGCATGGCTGCATGGCTGCTACAAGCAGCTATAAATATGTATCCAATCCTCTTTGGGAGGACATGGCTTTTGTGTTTAGTGAATGAAGAAAACCAGAAAATTGCCCCATCTCGAGTGCCATCCTCTTCTCAATGAGAGTAACCATTGAAATTCTAACATCTGGTATCAGAGCAACACTTTCCTGTAGGCTAAACATCTCTTGTTCCACCCCTTCCCAAGCTCGGTTGAGCTCTCAGCCAGCAGCAGCACCAGTTGCTCCTCCTTCCCCTTTCCCTTCCCCCTCTCCACGCAGCAGCCCCCCGCAGGTGCGCCATGTCCGACGCTCGGTCTCGGCGTTCGGACGCCTCGAGCACTCGGCGTCAGCAGGACGCCGAGCTCGCCGCAGCAGAAGAGCGCAGGCGAGCAACAGCTCAGACCGCTGCAGCAGCAGCGAGGGCAGCCAGACTGGCGGCAGCGGAGTTGGCAGCAGCCAGGGCGGAGGCGGAGGCGGAGGCGGCGGAAGATGCGGCATGTGCGGCGGAGGTAGAGGTTGAGACCTTGCGCAGCAGCATCAACGGCTCCATCGCCGGCGACATCACCGCCGACAGGGAGCTTGAGGAGCTGGCAAGAGGAAGGGCACGGGAGCGGGCAGAGCGGTGGGCAGCAGCCCACCTCCACGGCGGTGGCGGCGGTCCAAGGGACCACGGGCCCGCCAACGGGAACCCAGATGGGCGCGGGCGTGCCGGCGGCAGCCCGGAGCCCGCACGCGGCCCTCGCAGGCAGCGCGGCTCTTTCTCCCCTGACCGGCGCCATGGTCACCACGGCGTCCAGACGGTGGTCAGGGACTTTGGTCCTGGCGGTGGGTGGCCTACCCTCACCAAAACCAACTACATCGAGTGGGCCGCAGTGATGAGGGTGAGGCTCCAGGTGCGGCACATGTGGGAGGCAGTCCGGTACGGCGACGTCGACTACGACGAGGATCGGCGAGCACTGGATGCCCTCATCGCTGCAGTCCCGCCCGAGATGCAGTTCTCGCTTTCCCAGAAGCGGACTGCCAAGGAGGCCTGGGACGCCATCGCTGCGGCACGCATCGGCAGCGACCGCGCCCGCAAGTCCACACTGCAGGCACTCCGCAAGGAGTGGGAGAACCTAGCCTTCAAGCCAGGTGAGGATGTTGATGACTTTGCTCTCCGTCTCAACACTCTCTTGCAGAAAATGGTGCAGTACGGCGACGACACCTATGACGAGGAGAGAGCTGTCGAGAAGCTCTTCCGCTGCGTCCCTGAGAAGTACAGGCAGATCGCTCGCTCGATTGAATCTCTGCTGGACCTCTCCACGATGTCGATCGAGGAGGCGTTAGGTCGCCTCAAGGTCGTCGATGGTGATGAGCCACAGCCTCTCTCGGGGCCCATCACCATCGGCGGGAAGCTCCATCTCACTCGGGAGCAGTGGGAGGCCTCTCAGGGTGACGGGAGGAAGGGGGAGTCATCTTCCCCGACAGGCGGCCGTAAGCCGCGCAAGGCGCGGGGAGGTGTCCAGCTACGGTGGGCGCGAAGACGTGCCGAGGGTGGCGCCCGCAGAGGCGCCCAGGGCGTTGCCACTGGCAACCACAAGCCGGCACGAGACGACGCCTGCCGCAACTGTGTCAAGCTTGGCCATTGGGCCAAAGACTGTCGACAGCCACGACGCGGCCAGGCCCACGTCGCACGGGTGGAGGAGGAAGAGCCGGCTCTGCTCCTAGCTCACGCAAGCATCGAGCTACCTCCAGCGGCACCGGCCGCAGCGGCTTTCCTCCACCTTGATGAGCCGAAGGTACTCGTCTCCCTCTGCGACGGCTCCAGCAACGACAAGGCTGATGGGTGGTACCTCGACACCGGCGCCACCCATCACATGACCGGCCGACGGGAGTTCTTCACCGAGTTCGACTCCAGCGTCCGAGGCTCCGTCAAGTTCGGGGACGCCTCCGGCGTGGAGATCAAGGGTGTTGGCTCCGTGACCTTCACCGCCAAGTCCGGTGAGCACAGGCTGCTCACCGGAGTCTACTACATCCCCGCGTTGAGGAATTCTATCATCAGCGTGGGACAGCTGGATGAGAACGGCTCATGCGTGTTGGTCGAGGACGGACTCATGAGGATTTGGGATCGCCGTCGTCGCCTTCTTGCCAAGGTAACCAGAGGCACTAATCGACTCTACATCCTCAGCGCGCAGGTCGCACAACCAGTTTGCCTCGCCGCTCGTCGGGACGACGAGGCATGGCAGTGGCACGAGCGCTTCGGGCATCTCCACTTCGAGGCCCTGAAGCGCCTCAGTGCCAAGGAGATGGTGCGAGGCATGCCGTGCCTTGACCACGTGGAGCAGCTCTGCGACGTCTGCGTGGTGACGAAGCAGCGGCGGCTCCCCTTTCCCCAGCAGACGAGCTTCCGAGCCAAGGAGCGGCTCGAGCTCGTGCACGGGGACTTGTGTGGCCCAGTGACACCGGCCACACCAGGAGGACGACGCTACTTTCTACTGCTCGTCGACGACCTCTCTCGCTACATGTGGGTGATGGTCCTCGGCAGCAAGGGAGAGGCTGCGGATGCCATCAGGCGCGCGCAGGCCGCTGCAGAGGCGGAGTGCGGCCGCAAGCTGCGCGTGCTGCGCACCGACAACGGCGGCGAATTCACGGCGGCTGAATTCGCGTCGTACTGCGCTGATGAGGGCATTCAGCGCCACTACACCGCGCCGTACAGCCCACAGCAGAACGGCGTCGTCGAGCGGCGCAACCAGACGGTTGTGGGGATGGCTCGGGCTCTTCTCAAGCAGAGGGGGATGCCGGCCATCTTCTGGGGGGAGGCGGTGGTGACAGCCGTCTACATCCTCAATCGCTCGCCTACCAAGGCCCTCGATGGCAGGACACCGTACGAGGCCTGGCATGGGCACAAGCCGGCGGTCTCCCACCTACGGGTCTTCGGCTGCCTCGCGTTCGCCAAGGAGCTCGGCCACATCGGTAAGCTCGACGACAGGAGCACCCCAGGGGTGTTCATCGGCTACGCGGAGGGCTCGAAGGCCTACCGCATCCTCGACCCGGAGACACAGCGTGTGCGCACTGCGCGCGATGTTGTGTTCGACGAAGGGCGAGGGTGGGTATGGGACAAGGCGGTGGACGATGGTTCGACTCCGACGTACGACGACTTCACCATCGAGTACGTCCACTTCGAGGGAGCTGGGGGAGTAGGCAGCTTTTCATCTAGCGTGTCTACCCCAGCCCCCGAATCTCCACCGACTCCGACACCAACACACCCTCGGGCCACGACTTCGACTACGACGAGCTCTTCGTCGACACCACCCCAGCCAGTGACTCCACATGCTCCAGCTCCAACAGCCACTCCTCCAAGCACGTCTACTCCGACGCCAGCTCGTGTTGAGCGCAGCCCGGTGGAGTTCGCTACTCCGCTCTCCCACGACGGGGAGCGCATCGACGCGTACCACGACGGCGAGCAGCTACGGTACCGTACGATGGAGGATCTTCTCGGCGACCAGCCGGTGCCGGGACTGGTGCCTCGCGACTTAGAGGCGCAGTTGCACCTTGCGTGCGACGACGGTGAGCCTCGGTCTTTTGCAGAGGCCGAGAAACACGCGGCATGGCGTGCCGCGATGCAGTCGGAGATGGACGCGGTTCAGGAGAACCGCACCTGGGAGCTTGCTGACCTCCCTCGTGGTCACCGCGCAATCACCCTTAAGTGGGTGTTCAAGCTGAAGAGGGATGAAGCCGGAGCCATCGTCAAGCACAAGGCTCGCTTGGTGGCACGCGGTTTCGTGCAGCAGGAGGGGATCGACTACGACGATGCCTTCGCTCCCGTGGCACGGATGGAGTCCGTGCGACTCCTTTTTGCGCTGGCTGCTCAGGAAGGCTGGGGCGTCCATCACATGGACGTCAAGTCGGCGTTTCTAAACGGCGACTTGAAGGAGGAGGTCTACGTGCACCAGCCGCCGGGATTTGTGATCCCCGGCAAGGAGGGCAAGGTGCTACGCCTGCACAAGGCCCTCTACGGCTTGCGGCAGGCACCGAGGGCGTGGAATGCCAAGTTGGATTCCACGCTCAAGGGGATGGGCTTCGAGCAAAGCCCGCACGAGGTGGCCATCTACCGGCGGGGCATTGGAGGAAATGCCTTGCTGGTGGGTGTCTACGTCGACGACTTGGTGATCACCGGCACCAAGGATGCGGAGGTCGCGGCGTTCAAGGAGGAGATGAAGGCCACTTTCCAGATGAGTGATCTGGGGCCTCTCTCCTTCTACCTGGGGATCGAAGTGCACCAGGACAACTCCGGGATCACGCTTCGACAGACCGCCTATGCCAAGCGCGTCGTTGAGCTGGCTGGGCTCACCGATTGCAACCCAGCTCTCACTCCGATGGAGGAGAGACTGAAGCTGAGCCGCGACAGCACGGCGGAGGAGGTGGATGCTACACAGTACCGACGTCTTGTGGGGAGCCTTCGCTACCTCACCCACACACGGCCGGACTTGGCCTTCTTCGTCGGCTACGTCAGTCGGTTTATGCAGCGACCGACGACGGAGCACCAGCAGGCCGTGAAGAGGATCATCCGCTACGTTGCGGGGACTCTCGACCACGGTCTCTACTACCCGAGGTGTCCTGGCAAGGCACACTTCGTCGGGTACAGCGACAGCGACCACGCCGGCGACATTGACACCAGCAAGAGCACAAGCGGGATTCTCTTCTTCCTCGGCGAGTGCCTCGTTAGCTGGCAGTCAATCAAGCAGCAGGTGGTGGCCCTGTCCAGCTGCGAGGCCGAGTACATGGCGGCATCCGCCGCTTCGACCCAGGCGCTCTGGCTTGCTCGACTACTTAGTGATCTCCTCGGCAGAGATACTGGAGCGGTGGAGCTCAGGGTGGATAGCAAGTCCGCTCTGGCCCTGGCAAAGAACCCCGTTTTTCACGAACGGAGCAAGCACATCCGGGTGAGGTACCATTTCATCCGAAGCTACTTGGAGGAAGGGAGCATCAAGGCGAGCTACATTAACACCAAGGACCAGCTTGCGGATTTGCTCACCAAACCCCTTGGGAGAATCAGTTCCTTGAGCTTTGCTCCCGGATCGAGATGGCTCAACTTTCCCACAAGACGGCGCACAAGACTTAGGGGGAGAATGTAGGAATAAGTCTTGGCTGGTTGGTCTTGGTCTTGTGGTGCCTTTTTCCTGCTTTTCAGCTTTCTAGGACAGCATCTCTTTCTAGGACAGCATCTCTACTTTCAGTTTGAGATGCTCTAGGACAGTTTGTTGGGATGCTCCGCTCTAGGACAGTTTGTTGGGATGCTCTAGGACAGCACCCTCTTAGACTAGCATGGCTGCATGGCTGCTACAAGCAGCTATAAATATGTATCCAATCCTCTTTGGGAGGACATGGCTTTTGTGTTTAGTGAATGAAGAAAACCAGAAAATTGCCCCATCTCGAGTGCCATCCTCTTCTCAATGAGAAACCATTGAAATTCTAACAGTTGCTGCCTCGTGTGCGACCACGATGGCGACGGGCACCCAGATGGGGCTGGTGAGCAGAGCGATGGGCCCCAGGAAGTTGAGCGCGACGACGGCGCCGATAAGCGTGAGCCCGGTCAGGAGCAGGAGCTCGGCGCCGGAGGCGACGAGCGTGAGGAAGCCGACAACTTGGGTGGAGCTGGGCGCGTGAGTTTGCACTTTGCACCCGCCGGAGCAGCATCGTCGACGACGAGTTTGGCGCCGTGGGCGCGTACCCATGGCGCTACGGTGCCGGACCGTGCGCGTGCTGCTGCTGATATGCCATTCTCGCGGTTGACCTAGGAGGATGGCAGCTCAAGCGCGGTGCCGTTGCCACCGCTGCCTCTCCCCTCTCCCATCTCCCTCCGGCCGCCTCCCCCTCCCTCCCGAGCTCGTCGGCCGTCTCTCCCCTCTTTGCTGCCACCGGCCTCCTAGACTTGCTGAAGGGAAGAGAAGAAAAGAGTAGAAAGAAGAGATGCGGAATGATCAGTTTACCACGAGCATCTCTTCTTTCTACTCTTTGCTCATCGGAAAAAAAAGAATAAGTTTACCACGAGCAACGAATGATCAGTTTCTTAAAGACCAACATTTCTTTGAGCTCCACCAGGGGCGGAGGACTCGGTATGGCGAGGTGTGGCGCTCGCCATACCTTGATCCTCCCGCGAACCACCCCCCCTCCCCTCCCCGGGCGGCGGCCGCGTCTCCTTCCCGCACCGGCGCGATCGACGAGAAGAGAGGGAGAGCGAGAAGCCGAGAACGCAGCGCGAGAGAGAAGCCGCGTGTGAGAGAGGCCAACCAATTAGATCCATTGGGCTTGTTTTTGTGTAAATGGGCCTTTTGACCATGAAACCCTAATCCAAATTTCCCCAATTCCCCAATCTATCTCCTCCCCAATCCCCAATTCCCCATCTAGCAGCAGAAGAGCAAGCGGCGGCGCTGCGGTCTGCGGTGCGGACGACGGCCGACGGCGATGGGGCGAGCGCCGGTGGGTGTGGGCCTGCTCAAGGTGGGGCGCAGCAGCCGGCAGGGGGTGGGGGCGGGGCTCGGTCGCGCCGCGCGCTGCGCGGCGGCGCAGCGGCGCGGTCGCGCGGTGCGGCGGCGCGGGGCAGAGGCACGACGCGGCGGTGGCCGGCCAGGCAGAGGCAGGCAGGCGCAGGCGCAGTGCAGGGCGCAGGCAGGCGGCAGTGAGAGGCTCAGAGCCAGGCACAGGCAGGGAGGACAGCAGAGCAAGAAAATGGATAGAAAGAGGAAAGGAAAGGCATTGGCTTCACAAAAGAGGTACAATTTCAGAACATCATTTTTCTTGGTTTGAACTTTCAAGTATACAAATTTGATACTAAAATTGCATTTGTGTAATTTGTTTTGTAGATTTGAAGAGTTTTTGGAACCGGGGCTCTGCAAGCGCAATTACTCATGATGAATTGTGAACTTATGACTATTGCTTAATTGTTGCCATTGCCATGTTTGAGATTACGTGGGATAATATTGCGTCATATAATATAGTACATTGAGATTGTTTTTTCTCCCTTTCTTTACACTAGTCTATGGGTCACACTGTCAACACCACCACACCAAATTTTTTTTCCGTCCTCCGCCACTGAGCTCCACCACTTCTCGTGGGCGTTAATTCTTCTTTGGGCAACACGTACTCTGTTTGGTTCCTCATTTTACATACTCGTTTTTAATTACCGTCGACTACGGTCGGTTGATTTCGTTGTTTCTAATCCCCATTTTTTAACCAGCTGCAAGCCTGCAGATTGTATATCTGATATTTTACTTAGCTTTGTGCAGAAGAAAAATGATTTTGACTCCAAATTTTGGATATAGACTAACAAGGAAAAAATAGCCTCAAGTGATACAGTGTTGACCAAACCTGTTAGATAGCAAGGCAATCCCGTAACTGTTTCTCTCATGTGTAGGCTCATAACAAACAAGGTGTCAAGCCCAGTAACTACTGGCCCATTTATGTATTAGCTAGTAGGTTTGTTTTTATAGACGGTACAAGGTAGCCATGCTTCATGTGTCTACTTCTTCCTCAACAGTTAGCTCTCCTTTTGCTTCTTTAATTTGGTTGCTGTCCTGCTTCGAGCAATTAGTTCGTATGCAGGTAGGCACAATTTTCCTCTGCTGGTGTAGGGATTATAAATACCATATACCAACATAGATAACTTATCCGACTAAAAATAGAAGGTGGGTCGAATCCGTATATTATGTATTACATAGGGCTTTGGAAGTTATGTTGTCTTGCACTCCAAGGTACAGTCCATAAGTGTTAGTCCTATAAAGTTATGTAAATATATAAGAACATTTATGTCGTATTCAGCTTGGTTTTCCTTCTCATAACCCTATCCTCAAACCTATACAAGGAGCGCAGGGAGTTCTCTAAGGGCATAACTACAACTAAATCATCAGGTCAATAATATATTCAGCGGATACTATCCTCAAACAGGAGTAGGGTATCATCTCATATCGAGAGGGCCTGAACCTGTCTAAATCGTTGTCTTCACATCCATCCACTTTTCGTCCCTGTGCGCTACCCTCTTTTATCATTGCCGATTTCCATAATCGACAGTTGGCGCACCAGGTTAGGTTTGCGTCGAGTATTTTGCCGACAAGTGCAATAGTATCAACTTTGGGAGCCGACGACTTTGCCATCCCTTTAGGGCAGACTTACAACTTTGGCAGCCTTGACTTTGTTACCAACAACATTGGCAGATCTCTCTCCTCGACTCGGATTCAAACCAGTCGGAGAAGGGCCACATTGTCTTGTCAATGTTCAACCTTCCAAACGCCTCCGATACCTACTCAATGGCGTTCTTCTCTTATGTGATTTCAAACTACTCGAGGAGATCATCGATGTCGACTCAGATTCGTGACACCTCCAACAACACCACAACTTATCCATAGATCACCTTGCGACTTCCTTTGCTCCTCGCCATCCCCCCTAGGGTTTGATCTGGACATGCTTCATCAAAGTCCGGACCAGGGCTTAGGGATATAGGCGTCATGATCTAACCAATCGATTCCTGCAGCGTTACTGAAATCGTCAATAGCTTCGACTACACCGACAACTACAACGACTTGGACACCGAAAGCGTCAACAACTCTAAGCAACCTCGGCCGCTGCTTTTCCTACGCCAATTGACGCTTGAGCTGTGGCTTCGTCGTCCATCCGAGCCACCACTGTGCACTACCCCCTTTGGCCGCCTTTTGCCATCGTCGCGGTCGCTGCTCAGCCACGCCATTGACGTCAATAGCTTTGTTGTGCCAAGGAGCTCCTCAACAGCCTCTTCCCCACCGCTGGGAGCCGCTAGAACCACGTTCCTCGTGCGTGGTGAGCCAACACCTCATCGTTGATCTCCGGCTAGCATTTCTCACCGTGCCTCGACTCCTCTCCCTCCCATAACTCCTCCTCCTTCCCTGGTCACGACCGTCCCTGTCCGCCACTCCCGTCTTGCAGATCATCGTCGGAGCACCGCTCGTGCCACCGTCCTGAGAAGCGCCACCGCCTTTACTCCCTGTCGCCTCTTGTCGCTGGTACGCCATCGGTGAGCCTCCCCTACCCTCATCGTCTCCCTACGCCGCCTCTCGTGCATGTTGCCATGCCGACGGGCGCCGCTACCTCCGCTCGTGGCTATCTGATCCATCCTTAGGGGATCTGGGCTGTCCACGCAGCCGTGCCACCTTGGCATGCCGAGCTATTGTGGCCGCCACATGGCTACCACGTGGTGCACGCGCACCCGAGCCACGGTGGACCATCCTCCTTTGACCCAGCGACTGGTGGGGCCCACTTGTCGTTGCAACATTCCCCACGGCTCATCACAAACCTTATTAATTAGGCAATAAATCGAGTTAATTTCCAGAAATTCATTTAAATGGTTCAAAACTTCTAAAATTCATAACTAATTCATATGAACTCCAAATTGAGTCATTCAACTTGCAAAATTTATCTAAAATTGAGCTCTACTTGTTTTTTTTGTCACTTTCCATGTACTGTTTACTTGGCTTTTATTAGGGTTTTCCTCGTTGTCGTGCTAGCGCATAGATTCCGTCTTTTCAAAAGATCGTGTTCACGAGGAAAAGAGGTTGGAACATTTACCGAAGAAGCAAAGAAGTCACACATCCCCCTTGAGCATGTTAACCCTACTTTATAAAATGTTTTACTGTTTGCAATTGAAGCATGTTTTTCTTATTCCTATCTGCTTGCTTGTGCCATGTTTACTTGATATCCATCCTGTGTCAAACTCTGGTGATAATTTGACTAGCTTGCATCATTACGTGGACCTGGGCAAAATTATATATGCTTAATCATACTTAAATTACAACTAGCTCACCTAATGGGATAATCACATTACCTATATTTAGTATCTTGATGAAGCGGATCCACCTACTCCGTTTCTAAAATACTAAGGATGGATCCAATGATAAAGATAAATAGCACAAAGCAAGAACTCCAAAATGAGCAGAATGCCACGACTCCCGCGTCACTCCTAGGGCAGGGGCAACACGGGTGGTGACCGCCGCCGCCACACCACCACCCCTGCCTCCTTCTCTGCCTCGCCGCCACCCGAGCGGGCCGCCAGAAACCACACGGTCGGAAAGGAGACAGCAGCAATGCCTCCTTTCTTCTCCCCGAGGGCGCCGGGTCGTAGCCCACAACCTCACCTGGTTCTAGGGCAACGACGACTATGATGCTGGGCCGATGGCTGGTTGCTGGTGGCGTTGACGGCGGAGAGAGCGGCAATGTTGAAGGCGAGGCAGAGCCCGTCGGAACGACAGTGCAGAGGCGGTGTCGACCAGGGCGATGATGGCAAGGCAGCGCCATCGGATCTAGCGTCCCCTGGCCATATCCGGCCACCTCACGTCTGGATCCAGCCTCCCCGACGTGGGTGGCAGGCCCTCGAGCTAGCTGCGGTAACAAGGCGGCGGGGTGCATTTCGGAGGCGGCGGGGTGAGATAGGAAGGAGGCGATGGTGCGGGAGGCCAACTCCTAAGCCGGTAGCAGGGACGAGGCAACGGCGTGCGGTTGCGATGTGGTAGGGCGAGGAAGGAAGGGCGCGGCGGTGCAGCGGGACGGTGGGCATGCTCGCGTGGTGTCGACGGCGTTGAGGAAGGTGGAGGCGACGATGGGGATAGGAGCTGGGAATATGGCATCGATGTTTCTACCGACTGGGCTGCTTGCTGAGGGCTGACACATCGCAAAAGTGTGCCGCAGCTACAGGGATAGGCCGGCGTGGGGTACAGAGGAGAGCTTGATGGCGACGGGATTGTGGGAGGCCGGCGCGCCGAGCAACTGGCGACGCGAGTAACGGCAGGGAAGCCGGCTCGGTTAACTGCATGGAGGCTGATGTGGGGACGACGTGAGTGCCATGGCATGGCGTGTGGCAGGAGCTGGAGGTGGCAGGACGGATGAGGCGATAGCAATGCAGACGGGCAGCCTCTGGCGGCATGGTTAGCCCGGCCGAGGCGGGGACGTCAGTGTTGCTGTGAGGTGGGTGTGGTAGGCCTACGATAGGTCCTTATCCAGACTCTAGTCCTCTTGTGGTGGCTCCTTGCCGCTACAAGATGGCCACGTTGGCAGGCTAGTGCGGGAGAGAGGGAATCATTCTTCTCTCTCACCCTCTCCCTCTCCAGCCTAACTACGTGGATGGATTAGAGCATGTCGGATATCGAGCACCTACTTGATGGCCGGCCGACGATGGGGCATTGGTGCAGTGGCTACGCGTTGAAGGAGTGTGGTTGGTGGTGGCTTCTATGTCCAGCAGGAGACTCGACACGAGCATGCAGGAAGATTATAGGCAAAAGCTTGGCCTCTCTAGGCTAGCAACGGTGACGCTTGCGGGTGCCGTTTTCCACTTGGGGCGTTGCTGATTGATCTTTCCTGTCCTCTGATGGATTCCTCTAAGTGAAAACCATATCCAGAAGCCTAGGACGAGCGGCGACGACACTCTTGGTGTCGTACTCTTTCTGAAGGCGTTGTTTAGAAGATCCTTTCCCTTCGGGATGTCGTTTCCATGTCTTTTAGTAGCAGGTTCTGGTTGAAGACGCGTGGAGTGGTTGTATTTTTTTCTTTTCATGGCTATAGCCTTTCAGGACTATAAACTTGTAATTTTTTTTCCTCTATCAATACGAAACCTCGCACTAGCTTGTGTATGTTGTTTAAAAAAAAAATAAAGATTAAGAGCTGGAGCCAACGGTCCTAACTATCAGGATGGTGCGCATGTTCGCAAGTGCAGCGAATCGCGCGCGATTATCGTCTTCACTTTCCAAAGAGGTGGAAAGAAAGGTGACTGGGGGACTAGAGGTCCTTAGACAGTTACATATAGAGTAAACTGCTGTTGACTAGTGGGCATGGAGACCAACATTACGATCCTTTTTAATGGCACGCAGATAACTACTGGTGCAAACCTGATGGCACGCATTGTTCGCCACTACTGATGTCGGCATTCACGTAGCAGGCGCCTTCCAGTGCTAGTTAAGAAAGTTTTTCTAGACTTATTAAACGAGTCAATTGTAATTTAGACTATTTTTATTACAAATATTTTAGTTAGGACCATTGTTTATTCAAACATTTCACTTTGGCATGGGCCAGTATAATAAATGTGATATACTTGACACTAGTACGAAAACGATTTTTCCGTGTGGTCGAAAAGGTTTTCGCGTGCGGATCTCCCGCCATCTGCGCACCCAAGTGTCTGTAAAAATCCAATTTTTCCGTGCGCGCGACACACCCGCACGAGAAAAATCTGATTTTTGCGTACGGATGACTTATGTCGCCCGCACGGCAAAAAATCCACAAAAAAGAAAATCCAAACCCTAACCTAGCCATCGCCCTCCTCGTGGTCGCCATCATCGCCGTCGTCGTCGCTCGCTGTCGTCGTCGTCGCCGCCTTCCACCGCGACCGGCCGCCGCCGCCCACCGCCGGATCCGGGTGGAAGAGGGGCGCCGCCTCCTGATCAAGGCGGGTGAGGGGCGCCACCGCACGCCGGGGAGCGCGCGTGAGGCCGCGCTGCCGCTGCCCGCTGGTGCCGTCGCCCCCGGCCACCGCCCGCAAATGAGGCCGCACTGCCACTGCCCACCGCCGTTCCCGGCCGCCCAGCGCTCATCGTCTGTGCCGAGCCCACTGCTACCCATGAGAGACGAGGGATGAGAGAGAGGGATAGAAGATATGAGGATAATATGGGTAGGTGGAGAGGATAAGATAGAAGTTTTTGAAGTGGTTGAGAGGGAAAAATGCCTAAGGGAGGGTATTTTCGCGTGCGGTGCTCTTAAGAGGCCCACATGTGAAAATCGATTTTCGCGCGCGGTTCTCTTAAGGGTCCACGCGCAAAAATAGAAGGATGATTTTGCAGACGCGGTCAGTTATGGACCATCTGAAATCTAACAAGGGGCTTGTAAAGGAAAATCGTTTTTTAAGTGTGATACAAGAGCTTGGGTCATACAAAGTAAAATAAAAAAGAGTAAATTACCGCGTCTAAAATGATAACATTGGTTAAAAGGCGGATTAAAGGGCGGACTAAATCACTCACAAGTACAAGGGGTTGCCAAACTGTAAATTACTCAAATGATAAATTTAAGAGATCGATTAATCCCATGTGTACATGCATGGTAAATTGTAATTAATAGAATATATAATACTAAGTAGTTCAGAGGTTATAGCTTCCTAGCACCTAAATGGTGCATTTCTTTGAAAAAAAACATTTTATCAACATTCCTTTTAATTATTTAAATCAATTTATTAACTCTTAAAATTTAATTCACTCATGTGAGCTCTTAAATAATAGTCATAAACTTATATTCGTCATTCGTCCATTGAGAATGTTCCTTCGAGAGCGGTTTTTTTAATTTAAGACAAATGTATCTGTCAAAGTTACATAATTGCCTTATCCGACACTAATCGTTTACATATAACGAATACTACATTTTTTCAGATTAATTAAGATATATCCCCGCAAAAAAAAAGATTAATTAAGATATATATGGATATCTCATGAAGATACAGAAAAAAAAATCAAGGAAACCTAAAACAAATCAAATTTGCAATTCATCATACTCGCCCGAGGTTTCCTGTAGCACCAATGCACCATTGCTTTCAGTTGTCTACTTTTGACAAACCGTGCAAATATATGCTTTACTACCGGAACGCACTAACTTAATTGATCAGTGGCTACAGCGAAATATCTCAAGAAAAAATAAAGCTGCTGCTCGTCATTTTCACCCTCGCCAACAGTAGGTTCTTCCCTATAAATAATCCACGCATCCTGACCAAAGACTACACAAATCACACTAAATAATTACTCAAACCATCATCAGTAACAACCAGATTACAGTATTCATTCCCAAACATACAAATCATATCCATGGCCAAACAGGCGACAGCTGCGGTGCTCGCCGTCGCGTTGGTGCTCGCGGCGTCGGCGGGGCTCGCGCACGGCATCTGCAACCTGTCGGACGCGGGGCTCCAGGCGTGCAAGCCGGCGGCCGCCGTGCGCAACCCGGCGGACACGCCGTCGTCCGAGTGCTGCGACGCGCTGGCCGCCGCCGACCTGCCGTGCCTGTGCCGGTACAAGGGCTCCGCCGGCGCCCGCGTGTGGGTGAGGTTCTACGGGATCGACCTCAACCGCGCCATGACGCTGCCGGGCAAGTGCGGCCTCACCTTGCCGGCGCACTGCTAGTGCTAGCTAGCTGATGGCAAGCACAAACTACAGTGCGGCGACCTCGATCGCCATGTTGCTGCAATTCAATTATGCAGTCGTGACCACTAGCGCTACCAATATATAGCATATATATAGTAGTAATATTAATATATATGTCATACTATGCGATCGATGAGCCCGGCAAGGGGAGATGAATAAATTTGGCAACATATATATGTATTTATGCTCTTCTTTCAGTATCATCAAAAGATATGCGTGTGATGAATAGGTTGGGTGTTTAACCAATAATATATTTGTAATGATACTGATTTGAGTAAAAGAGGAAGTCGTTCTATACTTTTCAAAGTCAGCGGGACACAAATTTAACTGCTGTCCTCTTTTATATATTATTTTTACTTATATAAAAGAATTGCCCGTCTATCTTATCCACTAAACATTTTGGGTTGAGTTAGTACGTGGAACTCAATGTACACCAGTAAAAAAAAAAAGGTAATCAGCTCTTTGAGTGCCGGTTCGGCTTGGTCCGGAAGAGATTGAGTATCACTCTCGACATTGACCAAGCATCACTACCGATTCATGTATAGCTGGCTAAAAGGACCGAGGCCCGACGGCACAAGGTTTTGGCCCATCCCAAGCACGGCACGGGCCAAAAGATCAGGGAGACCAAATAGACTTATTCCAGCCATACAAGGCAGGAAAAAGTACACTGAAGGACCCTCAACTTGTCATCAAGTTACAAAATCATCCTTGAACCGTAAAACCAGATACAGGGTATCCCCTAACATATAGAACCAGCACAAACTAGGTCTCTCGGTGGTTTTGATTCCGGTTTTGTTCGACGTAGCAGCTGACTCAGTGTGGGACCCACGTGGGCTCCAGATGTTAGCCTCTTCTTATCCTCTACCTCTCTTCCTCACAAGGGTTTAGATGGAATTTTTATCTTGAGTTAACACCGTCATTTTGCCTTCACGGAATAGGACCACGACTCATCTTCGTTTCTAAAAATGAGGGTCAAATGAGCAACTCGAAAAAGCAAGACCAAATTAGTAGTTAGTCTTCAAAGTAGGGTCAAAAACGTAATTGCCCCATTGCAAAGTTATATGTCAACAGGTTGTCTCGAGATATGCTTTCAGCATTAGTGAATTACTCCCTCCATCCAAAAAAAAAACGAATCTAGGACTGGATGTGACATATTCTAGTACAATGAATCTGGACAGAGGTATGTCACATCCAGTGCTAGGTTGGTTTTTTATGGGACGGAGAAAGTAGTGAATAGTTTTGTTCTCGTTGTGGACATCCTGTCATGGTTGTCGGTAAATTCGCACCGCCAATGACAATGTGAATACAATTATTGGTTCCAATTATTTCTTCGTCCACCTGACATCTTAGAAAAAGGGTAAAAATTAAAACTGACACCTATAAATGTTTATATACCGCACATATATAAGGTTCTGCGTTATATGTGCCATTTATTAAAAAAAATAATATATAGTAAATTATAGATGCCGATTTAAAAATGCAACACAAATACTACATTAAACCGTCGAGCCGAGCCGTCTTGGTCCCTATGGTCCCACTTATCTTTTTCCCGGCCCATCTGCTCGTTTTTCTCTCACTTCCTTTTCCCATAGTCCTTATAAAATCAAAGTGTGTTTGATTATTATTTTATGATAAGCTATTGTTGATGAGAAAACATGGTGGCCTGGGTCTTTTGCTTAGCTCAAGTGCATATCCAAATCTTGCTTTCGGGTTCAGAGCATTCCAGTTGGTTTGATCCTGCAATGAACAAAAATAAACAAGAAAACCAAGTTAAATTCATGTAAACCTAGCCGATGCGACCTGACCGAATCAGCTGTTAGGTGTAGAATGAATAAAATAAAACGAGCCTAAAATATGTTCCATCACCTGTAGATATAATTAGTCATGTAATCCATAATTCACTCTTTCTATGAGATGCGAGCAAATGTATAGATTAAATGAGACTTTGTAGATTGCTCCTAAATCAGATCAAACGAATTAAAGATTACATGTAGCTTATATCGTAGCCGATGATAGATACCGTGTCGGCTAGTACTCTAATATAGCCTTATACAAGAATATGAACCTAAGTAAATATATCTAGAGAAAGCTTGATATATTTAAATAGTGTGCTACACTTGTATAACGGGCAAATACAACATGAAAAGCATGATTAAAGAATTTAAACACAGCTAAAAAGTTATATCAGGTAAGATCGGCTAAAACCTTGATTCTACCCTTATTAGCAATCAAGAAGCGGTTTAATTTCTATGATTCTAAACATGACTAGGGCTGATGCAGCACAAAGTATGAAAAGAAGCATAAAGTCTAAACAATCAAGCCTTTAACTGATTTTCAGGGTAGTGGATACCTTAGCTAATCCAAATTGACAAAACGATTTAGTCGACATCGGCAAAACCCTAGAAAAGGCATGGCCGATATAGCTAAATCGAGTCATCATGTTAGATTAGTTAAGATATATGATAACCAGCAGCTCTAGAAAATAGATTAAAACATCTAAAACGACACCCTAATCCGCCAACGCAAGCCGCTGAGGACAAGTCATACCTCTTGTCGGAAGATCGAAGTCGATGTCCTAACTCGAAGCAAGAACTCGTTGAAAAAGTAGAAAAGTAATAAGGTGGCGATGTGTCGAGAGTATATTGAATGGTTGTTGTTGTCAAGACCCTAGGCACATATTTATACCTGTAGTACAAAACTTGTCCATATCGGAAACGACTCAAACTTTACAAAATAAACACACCATCCCATTGCGGACTCTAATACAGATTTCTAAGGCCCTGTTTGTATGGGAGAGACTGTCCCTCCCATCCAAACGGCTCCTAAAATGCTTCCTAATTAATATATACAATTGCCTTGAAAGGACTCTTCCTTGTTTAGCAATATCTCTAAGTCCTCAATCCGAGCTCAACTCATACTTGGAAACTGTCTATATCAGCTGCCTTGTCCATATTGGCTGACTAAGTCCGATTCCAAATCGGCCGATACAGCCCCCAGGCGATGCGCTGCGTTATTCTTTCGAAACCAATCTAATTTCTTCAAATCAACTTCGAATCCATCTTCACCTTTGAGTATCTTGCCAAATTTTGTTGTTAACAACTATTGGCATCTGAGATTATTGGTTTTGATATTTGGATATTATTGATGAAGTGGTTTTGGAGATAATTGATTTTCAAACAATGAGCAGGATTGTATTGCTTTGACGGTCGCGGTCAAACCAATAGGATTGATCTAGTCGGACTGGCCAACTCGACGGTCTGACCGGCCAACTCTATGTTAGTTTCAGTTTAAGGTTGCTCCTTTGGATATCTGTGATTAATTCATATTTATGGTTTCTAGGTGGATACTATGCATATGTAATGTTGTTGTGTGCTAATGTTGAGTCAACTTGGTGAGAATTTGTGCACAAATATGGTTTCTTTGTTGGTGCAAGTGTAGGTGAGTCTTGATGCCTCAGGTGATCTTTGCCGGTGATGGATTGGGAGTCAACTTGGGAGAAGATGACGTCCGGATGATTAGGATATCATGCGGGATGCTTAGGCTCAAGATCAATGCATGTGGTTGGTGAAGATTGCATATGGCAATGATGGAGATATTGTGTGCATATGGGATGCGAGTCGAATTTAGAAGGAGTCCAAATTTGATATGATTGGAGTTTATAAAGTTTGTTTCTTGTACAAGAATGTCTCCTATGGGATTAGGACTTCTTATATTAGTTTGGTTCTTAACTTTAGGCTGTCTACCTCAGGTATAAATAAAAAGTCAGGATGAGGCCTCTCGGTATCGTTTTTAGAAAGAGTTGAGTTTAGAAAAGGTTAGGGTTTCAAGTTTAGTTGAGATTTTTGTGAGAAGTAATGTTATTGCACTTTGTAAACACAGATAGAAGTAATAAAGTATCAATCTACTTTGAGAGATCTTCAATTTGTGTTTGCTCAGGTTCAACAATCCAATTGGCGAGACACCGACGGTCAGACCGGATCAGCCCAGTCAGACCAACAACTCCACGATGGTTAGACCTGCGTTGACGACAAGCAACATTGGCGAATCTAGCGGTCAGACCAGAGCTACTATGCCGGTCAGATCGGAGGTCATCGTGTAGTTAATTAGACTGATGCAATAATTGCAGTCAAACCGATCTCCATCGTTTCGAGGGTAACCTTTAATTCCACTAAATGTTTTGGTTTTTGGGAACTCCAACCATTCACCCCCTCTAGTTGGCTTAGTTCTTGCAGTGCGATCCTACAGTCCTCACCTTCTTCCTGTCTTACCTCTCTTTCCCCTCGTCACTTTCTGTCTCCTTCTCTTTCTCACGAGTCAAGTCGGGCTCGGTGGCGGCGCCCTCTGCTCGGTGGCAGCACCAACTTCAAGGCGGCACGCCCTCCCCTTGATTGACAGTGCCCTCCTCACGATGGAGCCTCGGCGGCGGCACCTTCCCCACGGTGATTGTGCCCTCCTCATGGCGGGGGAAACCTCCCTATATATGATGGCAGTAGCCCTGCCTCCCCAGGAGCTCGGGGGTAGGGTGACCAGATCTTGCCGCCATGAGCTCGGAGGCGGCCAAATCTGGCCACCATGAGCTACAGCGGTAGCAATCCACATGACTAACAGGTATGGTGAGCGGTAGCATCTTCCTCGGCCTCAGGTGAGTAGCAGCAGACTCAGTGGCCTTAGCCTCCGGTGGTTGGTGGTGGCCTTTGTCTCTGGTGGGATGAGGCAATGGAAGGCTTCCATATGTTGATTTTAGTTTTTTTTTTCTATGAATGTCATTTATGTAATTTTTTGAGATGATTCTAAATTATTTTTGTTGGATTTGTGATGATTTTGTGATTCATTTTCTGTATGATTATTGGCTCGAAGCATCGGCTCTAATCAAGCTGATATATCGAGCCGGCTTTTTTTTCTTCGAAATATCTTAAAGCTGATGGTTTACCGATACTTTATATTCTTCCTATTAGTAACGTTAATGGGGTGCCGGTACCTTTAGAAGTACCCAACCGTTATCCATGGACCATGGGTGTTCTGCAGCGACTCGCTGTATGACAAGTGGCAATGATGGCTTGTGATGATTGTAAAGCATGGATTCAGGAAAACGCCATAACTTCTATCACGATATATATGTGTGGCACGTGGCAACAACTACAGTGTGCAGCAAAAATCTTCCACTATATGTACTTGGTGAATTATATGTCCAAACCACCATTGAATTGATACATGACAACCGTGTATTTGAGGAGAAGATGATTGGGGAGATTGGGAAGATACGCAAAACGAGGTGAGCCATTAGCACATGATTAATTGAGTAGCTA